GAGAATTAAGAGTACGCATAACAGTATCATAAACCATATGTCGCTCGGAGTTCATCATTGATAGACATCGTTTATGATCTTCTTTCAACTCTCGGTGTCATGACACATCTCATCTTTGTTCTTATTTATTTAAATTTATTAAAAAGTAAAATAAAAAATATATATATGAAATTTGGTTGAGTAAGTTTACGATTTGTTATAAACAAAATTAATAAATTATTGTATCGAAATTTACATAATTGAGAAATATCACAAATAATAAGCATTGTTATTTTTATCAAGTGGTAAACCGTTGGTACTTTTTTTATATTAAAATAGTTAATCACCTTAAAGTATAGTTTTTGTAGTTAACATAAACTAATCTATACTGATATTGTGTTAATTTTGTAGTTAATTTTTCGTACAAATTATTATTTTTTATTGTTTAAATTATCCACAAAGAATTTAACAATTCTTTTCAAAGCCATGAATATTAGCAGTGGAATGTTATATTCCATGAAAACATGAATAAATATATACCCTTATTATTTCATACTAAGATAAAATTTATATTACACTGTTTCATTTATTACTTTAGTTTTCACAATTATATTTTGAAGTAACTTTATTTAAAAATTAAGTTATTTATATAGACTTCCTTATGTTAATACATATATAACGTAATCAGTTGTGGTTTTAGAAAAATATATAACGGATTAAACTCAAAATATACGTTTTTTATTTTTTTTAAGACAATATTCATCATTTTTTATCTTGAGTAATATATATTTTCAATTAAACAAACTGTAAAAATTCTGAAAATCATATTCAATATTTCCAAACATATTTAATGTTATTTATATTATTGAAGGAAATGTAAATCACAATTACGATTTCTTATCATAGAGATAAATTTAAAGTTTCAATTATGTAAAGTAATTTGGTTATTATTATGACACTAATAAATAACTAATGAGTTATAAAATATGTAATACGTATACATATTTTTTCAATTTACTCATTATCTTCATGATCCATATTAATTTTTATATATTTTTTGCCAACTAATAATGTCCTATATATTTGTATTTGTTCGAATTCAAATAAAAAAATTGATTGGTCGAGAAAATAAGTATAATCATTTGATTGATAAATGAACAACTTGAGGTCTTATGTAGATTGAAGTTTTTAATCAGTTTGTTAATTAATTTGTATAATTAATTTTTTGATGATAAATTTTAAGGGAGGATTGCCATTATTATGTCCAATGCATTGAACCAAGAGTTCCCTTACAAAAATGGACTTTATTACTATAAGTAAATGCAAGCAAGTGAATAGTCATTTTGAAATTGGATAAATAGTGTAATTAAAGACAACTTAATTATGACAATTAATATATATCTTAGACAACAATTAATGCATATCTTTAGAGGGAAAAGTAGCTCCTAAACCAGCTGCTCTGGTTTAATATATATATAGATTGCTTTACATGTGATTTTAATTTCTTCTTCCCATTATATTATTATTTCCTTCTATAAAGGGATTAGGACTTTGACTCAGCACACTCACACAAATTTGTTCATAGATAGATAGAGCTCTATTGTCAGATCATATTGCTAATTTGATAGGTGACTTGTTTGGATGTTAGCTTGTTGTTATAAATTTAAATGATTAGACCTCATTGAAATATTTGTCCTACCAAATTTAATTACTAGCTTCTTTAAAAACAAACTTATTTAATTATTTTTTTTTTAATCCAAAATGCTAATTCTTATGAAAAAAGTTAAATATAAGCATTTTAGATAGAGATGGGTTCATATTATAACAAGTCAACATAACATTTTTTTTTTTAAAAAAAATAACTAAACAAACCGCAATTAACCAAACAATTACTTACGAACCGATGGTCATTACAATACGTTATCGGTGAATATAATCAACTATCTGCTATCAGTTAATTGACAATCAATCACACTAACATATGTCAAATTAAACATTGGAGTACTAAACATAACATATTTGTTTTTTATTAAAATATTATATATATTCGTAGAAACATTGAGAATGAATATAATAATAATCCAAGAAATCCATCAAAAATGGGAAAAAAACATAAATACATCAACATGATAAAGCAAGAAAATAATTATAACAATATAAAGAAATCACGGGTTTTCCTATAGAGAATTAGAGATCAACTGTCAACTGTCTACAAGGATATTACATTAAAAATGAAAAAAAAAAGGGGGGGTTGAAAAACTTTATTGACTCAATGATTGAGCAAAGAAACATCAATACCAATGACGTCATCACCTGTTCATCCTTCTTACTCTAAAACCCAAATAAGCACACACCACCACACAACCCAACTCAAGTTCTCTTCCTTCAATGGGGCCTCTAATTTGTTGTATATATCATCACATATACACACATTGTACAAATCCTCTCTAAAGGGGAATGGTAAGGTCATACAGGTTCGAAATAGTTATAAACGAGAAACGAGAAAAAAAAAACGAGCGAGGATGGAATTGGATGAAAGAATGAATCGGCTAAAAGGAAGAAAGGGATAAAAAAATTAAAGATAAAACGAAAAAAAAAGGGTACTAATAAGCTATGTCTTAAATCCACTCTAGCATTTGGCAAGAATTGGCACCCTAATGAATAATTGATTATAAGACTAAATTGCATAGTAAGTGGTACCAAATGCTTTAATTGCTATAATGCCTCACGGATGACTCCAAAACCTCCGGGCTCGGGCAAATGATTTCTCTAACTCGAACTCCATTTTTGTAGATCTTGAAAGTCGGCACTATTCGAATATTCTCAGCATGAGCAACTGCAGTACTCTCTTCAATATCCACCTTCAATTAAATAAAACAAGAAAAGTGTCAATTAAGTACAAAATAAAGCACTACACATCACTTTACATTTTGGAAACATGTGCCAAATGTTTGCATATTTACCTTGAGAAAATTAATAGATGGATACCGTGCGCAAAGGGTGTCTAAAAATGGGGATATATGTTCACACTCTACACTCGAGCCCTTAAAATGGACCACGGATACACCTGATGTCCCACATCATTTCATGATCATTTAATCAAATGATGATGTAAAATACTAAATAATCAGTCCAAGAACGAAGCCCAAAACGAATCGGAAAACAAAACCCTACCAGGCGAAGAAATAGCGGCTCGAAATTGCTCGAGGCCCAATATGGATTCAACTTCACCGCCAAATTTCATGTTGTGCACCTCCTCCCCACGTGACTTCTTTAAGGCGACTTGGGCATGAAAAAGTGACTCAGCAACCTCTTTGTTATCCGGAAGTTCCATTCTCAGTACCTCATAGTCTCTCACAGCATCACTCCATCTCTCAAGCTACAGAACAAGCAACATCCGAATGTTTAACATAAAATGCCAATTATCTTCTAAAAAATCTCAAATGCTCCTTTCATATTAGTTAATATACCTTGGAGTTAGAGGCAGCCCTTCTTAGCAGAGCCTTCGTGTAACTCGGCTGGATACGGAGGGCTTGATTGCAGTCATCAACCGAACAGTCCCACTGACCGAGCTTAAACCAACAAGCGGCTCTATTGCAATACAGTACAGAATTTGTGGGGTTCAGCCTGAGGCCCTCCCCATAAGCCGAGCAGGCCTCAGTAAACCTCTCCGATTTGAACAAATCATTCCCACGGGTACGGGCACGGCCCACCAACCTCACATTGTTAAGAAGCTTCGAGATTTCAACATTAGATGAGTCAATCTCGCCAGCTTTCTCGATTGCTGCAAGTGCACTATCAAACCTGCAAAGAAGTCATCATTTTCATCTCATATTACATTATTATAGACCATTTCTCATTCAAATGATGTGCAGCTACTAAAACCACCTCTAAAATTTTGGGTAGTAGAGATGATTTTGGGAAGAAAAAATGATAATGAAAGAAAGAAAGGAGACGAGATCGAAAAGAAGAGGAAATTTCAGATTTTGCCCCTTCATAACATCAAATTTTTTGAAAAAATACCATGCTACTTCCACAAAAGTATTACTTAATTATCTTAAATTTGGAAATTATTTGGGCTTTTTACGCAATTACTCTAAAAATTATGGATGGTTTCGTAGATGACTCTTTTCTGAAAAATACGCGCAAATGTTACAAAAAACTCACCTTCCCAAGGCTAACTCGATCTGGGCCCTAACGACATACACGTACGCTTCTAAAAGCATACCAAATATACGCAATTGGGAATGGAAGCTCACACAAAGAGCGGATGTGGGGATGTTAGATAGAGCCAAAAAGGCTTCATCTATTCGGTGGAGTTTCAAAAGAGCTTCCGCTTTACAAGCCCAAAGCTGTAAATTCGAGCACAAACGGTGTGTGAGTGAGCAACTTATTTCAGCTTCATATCAAAAGGTAATTTTCGAAGGAATTTTAAAAACACACCTGAGGAGAAGCATCAGCTCCCGAAGCAATGGTGGCATCAACTTCTCTCAATGTGCTTTTCCAGTCACCCATTTTTCGTGCATCGGTACATTTGCTCAAGTGCTTCTCTATGCATTGCAGCTTCTGTACGTCTGTGGGATCTGGCTGCTGCCCAGGAAAGCAAATGTGCTTTCTTGCATTCTCGAACTGTCCTAAACTGTAGCACCTTCAGGATTAGATTTGTGTGTGGAGTAATCATGGATAACAAACAAAAAAGGGAAAATATCGACAGGATATCTGAAAACCTAGGCAGTATAAGGCAAAATGGAATTTACACTAATCACGAGATTCAATTAATGAACACATCAACCAAATGTGAAGTACCTATCCATGAAGAATGAAGTACAAGGAATTTTATTATCCTTCGAACATTCATTCGTAATAAAAGATGTAAATAAACCAGAACGGATTCACTGTGTTAAAAGAATGCCATTATAATGTGAGGTCAAATTCAATAAACATGGACCAGACAAGGTGGTCCATTAACGCAGGGCACCGTCCTATAAGAGCTGGAACCACAAAAGCAAAGAACCAAAAAAACGTACGGCATGAGAAGTTAAACATCAACGACAACGGATGTTGCAATAGGGCCATGTCGTAATAAATGACAAAGACATAGACACAAAAAACAAGCTGTCATAAACTCAATGGCAACGTACTCTGACCTTAACCAGATCTAGTGACAAAAAGATAAGCAAACCGTTCAAGCCAATGCAGATCATTAAATCGCTCGGACAATTTTTTCAAGCAAATTCAAATCAACCTCACTAAACAAACACATTACCTCTATCATAGTCATAATCACTACACCCTGAAAACATACCTACATTGAATCTAATGATGACACTGATGAGATACAAAACAAACAACCACAGGCATCAAGACTCTGACACTTAGTAAACAAAATGCAATCAAGGTTGGAACTTTATCCAGAAATAATTCACCTAAGGAGCAGAGATCCCAATCTATGATGCGCCCGCACATAGCCCGGATCCAATCTAATAGCCTCTTCACATTCTCTGGCAGCCTCTGCAAACCGCCTCAGCCCCATTAGAGCCGCCGAACGGTTAAAATGATAGGCGGCATTGCCTGGCGATATAGCAATTGCCTTATCATAAAAGCTCAGAGCCTCTGCAAAATTACCCCTTTTGTAACAATCATTTCCTAGCCGCTTCAACTCCTCCGGGTCACCGACTCCAGAGGACCCCGCTCTTTCGCCAGCTATTGCCCCCTTGGGGTAGTGCACGGGCCCGCAGTCAAGGCCCGGTTTAGATGAGGGCCCGCCCCGCATTATGCTGCCGTGGCCATAGTTCACGGAGCCGGAGCCTAAGACGTCAGTCTTCGTGGACCGGCTGGCCATCCCGGTTTTCACGACGCGGCCCGAGGGGCAGATGTTGCCGGTGGGGAGCAAATTCACGGGCGGGGACGTGACGGACCCGGACGACCCGGAGTAAACATGCTTAAACGACCTAAATGAGTCCAATGGTGCATGTCCCGACCGGGAGTTCCGGATCGCCGATGGGGAGCTCTCGGCGGATAGCTCGCCCGAGTTGCTGTTGGGGTTGGAATCTGGCTTCCTGGGTGGATTCACGTTGTGCCCGCCAGGATTCCGGCCCGAGACCGATCCGGACGAACTGGAGCTACTGCTCGTGGTGGCTGGGGGCCCACCGGCGTTCCGGGTTCGGAGCGGCGAAACGGGCGAGCCCAGATCGAGTTCCCGGAAGTCCGGCTTGTCGCCATTCGCGGCGCTGCCTTCTCCGCCGTGGACATGAGCGTTCCTCAGCCGATCCGAGAGCGACGCCAGCCCCAATTCCTGTTTATTCTTCCCCGACTGAGATGCCATTTTTTTTCGATTCACGCCACACAGAGCCCCCACCTAACCTTCTCTCTCTTTCTCCCTCATCACTATACGAACATATGAACAGGGTCACTTCGAATTTCTCAGCAATGTGAACAGTGGCAGCAAGAATCAGTAATGGTGGCAGGGGGCGGAGAGAAAAATGGGGAAGCTTTTGAAGAAAACATAGAAGAGAGAGAGAGTGATTGAGAGATTAAGTGAGGATCTCGTGATTTCAAAAGGGAGAAGCAAAGAATGAATGAATGTGGGTGTTGAGGTGAGAGAAAAAAACAAGGAGAGGAGAGAAAAAATGAAAATTGACAAGAAGGGAGGTTTATATAATTTTAATTCTTTTTAATTTTTTCATTGTTGCCTGCCTACCTGCTACTGCTACTTCACGAGACTGGTTTTCTCTCTCTCTCTCTCTCTCTCTCTCTCTCTCTCTCTCTCTCTCTCTCTCTCTCTCTCTCTCTCTCTCTCTCCACATTTACTTCTCTTTTCCTCTACTTCTTTTTTATTCATCTTTTCAACAAACCTCACTAGTAATATTTTTATAAATACAATTTTTATTTATTTATTTATTTATTTTTTTTATGTAACACTACCGAACCTTTTTTTATTCATACTTTCAAGTTTCAACAAACCTCACTAGTAATATTTTTATTATAAATATACATTTCTTTTTATATAATGCAGTCTAACCTTGCATTGATCGACCTAGTTGGGTGTGCAAACTAAATTCTACATCGAAAATTAAAGATTTCGAGTCCAATATATAATCTTGGTGGGTTACTCTTTCTATTGCCAATTAGTTTTAGAATAGAACTCCATTTGAGTTTGTTTGTTGAGCTTGATGGACAACTGAGATTGAGTTGTTAGTCCTAACAATTGGGATCAGAGTCACGGTTGATAGCCCAATTGTGATGTGATGGCGTGACATGTTCCTCGTGGAACCAGTGGACGGTTGTTGGATATGTGTGCCTTGTGTCGAAAGTCTTCCTAACGAAAAAGTGGTAAGACGGCATGTTCCGTGGGTGATAACGGCGGTACAAGATGGTCAAATCGTATGGATTTCGTTCAAGGGATGGCCCAAATATGTGCTATTGTGTTTGAGGGGAGGTTTGTTGGATGTGCAAATCCAATCACACAATAGAAAATTAAAGGTTCCGAGTCGAATATACTTGGCGGGATATTCCTTCTATTGTCAATTGGTTTTAGAATGACATCTCATTTGGGCTTGTATGTTGGGTTTGATGGAGAATTGAGTTTAAGTTGTTGGTCTTAACGGTAAGAGTGCATATTTGTTATGAGTATCATACTTTTATTTAGTTTGTTTGAAGACTATGACATTTCACTTTAAAAGTATGACTAAGAGTGCATATTTAAGTTATGAGTATCATAATTTTATTTAGTTTGTTAAAAACTATGACATTTCACTTTAAAAGTATGATTGTGACCATTAGGTGATGACATTGTATCAACTAAAGTTGACTGTGACACACTGTATTTGTTTTGTTTAGCATACTTAATGGTTCGCAAAATGACAATTTAGTAAATAACGGTTTGTAATACAAGTATGTGATAAATAACGGTTTGTATAGTCATTTAAAAAATGTTATATTATTGAGTTATTTCATGAATTCTTTCTACACAAAACGCTCGTACATTGAGTTTTTTCATGATTAGCGTTCCGGACCAAAAAAAACCAATCAAATAAGTTATTTATAAACATATTAATTAGTAAATTTAACGGGTCAAGCCTTCAAATGAGGTTTAATATACTAACATTCAAATTAGTTCTATTCATATTTTGAACAAATATGATTGTTTAACTGTAACACTATGTTCTTTAAAATAGTACCATTGTTAATTTTATATTTGTGTGTGTTTGTTTTAAGAAATATTGAGCCATACTACTCCACAGTATCCACCCACTCTCATTGATGGCTATGGAGTGTTTGATAGGTTGCCTTTAATTAGAAAAATTTTGTAGTAACTCATGTAGGGGCAATTTTGGTAATCAATACAGTGAGAGGAAACAAATTGTCAATGTATATATGTTTTAGAAAACTTTGCTAGAGGTAGAGTGGATTGGAAGGTTTTATTCACCACTAATTAGTGCTTTTTCATCTCCAATTTTGTCAAAAGCCACCTTGAATAAACTTGTCTTGAAAGGAAGAGTGGGCATAAATTTCGTGTAAACAATTTTTTTTTTTTAAGGGTATATGATTGAGTTGAAAAAATGTTTATTTTTGTGATTGGCAAAGATAATTTTTCCTTTATTTAAAATTAAAGATGATTTTAAATATCAATATTGAAATGTAAGTTTCTTCAATATTTGGAATTTGAAGACAATGTGCTCTCTCGAAGCGAATATATCGAAATGATGTTCGAGTTTTGATACGTCTGATACTGCAAAATCGTTTATGAAGATTAAAGTTTTTAATAGTGATTGAAAGTAAAAAAATTCTTCGTGGTGTTGTCGATGAGATTTGGTCTAGTAAGTCAAATGCAATAAATAGTACTTGCACTAAGGGTATGTTTGGTAAGCCAAATAAGCTAGCTTTTAGCTTATTTGGTTAGCTTATAAGCTCTCTGTTTAAAATAAGTCTCGTTTGGTAGGACGAGCTTTTTTAAAAAGCTCGAGTTTATTTCATAAGCTACTTTAGGTAGCTTTTCAAATAAACTAGTTGAATTTTTTTATTTCAGCTAGCTTATCAGCTAATTTACCAAACACCTTTTATCATATAAGCTAGCGCTAACTTATCAGCTATCAGCTAGCTTATCAGCTAATTTTACCAAACATAGCCTAAATGTGTCATGCCACGAATCTCAAAGTTGTTCGTACTTGAAAATGAATTTATCGAATAAAATAAATTACTTGATATTATAAAGCAATTAATAGCATATTATTACATTTTTTGTTAATAGGTCGTCTTATCTCCAATCGGAAAGGACAACTTTATAGTGATATAAATGAGAATTTCGGAAAATGAGTTTATAAAAAATTAATTTAACTGGTTTTTATTTTTTTTTCTTTTTGGTAAAAGAATATTTCGTGTTTAATTAAATTGTATAAAAATTCAATGCTCTAATTATATATATTCATTGTATATTTATTTTTTTCAAAATAATTTACGGTATTAAAGATAAATGATATTAAAGTTATTTAATGGACATTTAAATGCTAGTTGTGAGATTCGAAAGCAAAGAGGTACATCCACATATGATTCTTAAATGAGTATGTTTTGGATATGTCATAACCACAATAAAAGTTAGGCACCAAGTGTAAATGATGACTTCAGCCATAAGCACACGTGTGGTCACATGTCGGTCGGCTCAACTATGGCACGTGTCTGGGTCTTGGACTTGGACTTGAACCTTGCTAGCTCTAGCTCGAAACAAAACTCAATTAATTTGGTTTTTGATTCAACTCGTATGATTCTCACCAGATACATTATACCTAGACATTGGTGAATTAAATCGATGAGCTTCATCAATTTCATGATACCGTTGGAGGTTTTATGCTTAAACATTTATGCTCAATAAAATATTGTTATATGCCTTAAAGTGACATAAACTCTACAGGTGTGGAGGTACCTTAGAGTTGCATGAGAAAGACATTGGATATGAGTTATGGTTGAACTCAACCGGTTATAACCAATTGAGTCATTTCATATCCGATCACCTACTTCAAAATCCAACACAATTCAATTCTCTTATTTTTTTATAAATATAATTAATTAATATCAATCAATAATTTTCACACATCACATCAACTTTAATTCACTATTCATCTACTCACATAATTCAACTACATGACACGTCTTATAATTTCTATTACTTTGGCATCATATCCATTTTAATCATTACATTTTAGATATTATTTAATATCAAATATATTTTATTCAAAATAACTTAGATAAACTCGTCAAGTTGGTTTATAAGTTACACTACAAGATAAATGTTATATTCCAACGGAAAATTCTATGGTAATATATTCCAATGGAAATTCCAACGGATATTCCAATGGAATAGTTTCCGTTGGAATAGTTCCAACAGAAATTCCAACGGAAATATTCCGTTGGAATGTGTTTTTCATTGGAATTTTAGATGGAATTTGATGATTCCAACGGCTATAATTCCAACG